TCCTTTTCTGCAGAGCTGCTGCCCAGCCAGTCAGCCCCCAGCCTGTACTGGTGCATGGGATTGCTTTGTTCTAAGTGCAGGACTTTGTACTTGTTGAACCTCATGAGATTCATTTTGTCCCTATCCTCCAATTTGTTCAGGTTACTGTGAATCCTAGCCCTACCCTCCACCGTATCTATTACTCCCCCACAGCTTGGTGTCATCTGCCAACTTGCTGAGGGCGTAGTCTGTGCCATATTCCAGGTCACTGATGAAGACATTGAACAAAACTGACCCCTAGGGCACTCTTTTAGATACCAGCTGCCAACTGGACATCAAGCCATTGATTACTACCCTCTGCGCCCAATGCTCCAGCCAGATTTCTGTTCATCTTACAGTCCATTCATCCATCCCATACTTCCTTATCTTGCCTGAGAGAATGTTGTGGAGATCCTTGCTTAAGTCCATATCAAGATCCTTGCTAAAATCAAGGCAGGCAAGGTTCCTTGGGTAGATGTGATATCTTTTATTAGACCAAGTAAAATAGTTGGAAAAAAAGTTCTTTGCAAGCTTTTGGGCACAACCAACAGCCTTGCTAAAATCAAGGTACATCCCATTCATTGGTCTCCCTACTTCCACAGAGCCAGTCACCTCATCATAGAAGGCAATCCAGTTGGTCAGGCATGACTTGCCCTTGGTGAATCCATGCTGCCTGTTCCTAATCACCACCTTCTCCTCCAAGTGCTTAGAAATGGATTCCTTGAGAATCTGCTTCATGATTTTTCCAGGGACTGAGGTGAGGCTGACTGGTCTGTACTTCCCTGGATATTCCTTTTTTAATCATCTGGGACCTCCCCTGATTGCCATGACTTTTCAAAGATGATGGCCAATGGCTCTGCAATCTCATCAGCCAACTCCCTCAGCACCTTTGGGTGCATCCCATCCAACCCCATGGACTTAAATATGTCCTGCTTTCCTAAATCATCCATAAGCTCTTTTTTTGTCACTGTTGGCTGCTCACCTTCTCCTCAAACTGTGCTGCCAAGTGCAGTAGTCTGGGAGCTGACCTTGTCTGTGAAGACTGAGGCAAAAAAGGCATTGAACACTTCAGCCTTTTCTGCATCCTCTGTCAGAAGTTACTGCCCTCATTCAGTTAAGGGACCCACCCTTCCCTGATCCTCCTCTTGCTACCGACATACTTGTAGAAACCTTTCTTGTTAGCTTTCATGTCCATTGCTAGCTGCAACTCCAAATGTGCTTTGGCTTTCCTGACTTCATTCTTCCATGCAGAAGCAATGCTCTTATACTCCTCCCTATTTATTTGTTCAAGTTTCCACTTTTTATAAGCTTCCTTTTTGTGACTTAATTTACTGAATAGTTCCCTGCTAAGCTAAGCTGGTCTTCTGCCACACTTACTAGTCTTCCAGAGCACTGGGGTGGTATGTTCCTGCATTCTCAGTAAGGCTTCTTTAAAGTACAACCAGCTGTCCTGGACTTCTCTCTCCCTTAGACTGGCTTCCCAGGGGATCCTGCCCATAATTTCCCTGAGCGAGTTGAAGTCTGCTTTTCTGAAGTCCAGGGTCCTTATTTTGATACTCTCCATCCTTCCTTTTCTCAGGATCCTGAACTCAATCATCTCATGGTCACTGCTGCCCAAGTTGCCATCCACTAGGACATTCCCCACCAATTCTTCCCTGCTTGTCCTGCATCATCAAGGGTGGGACAAGGGATGATGTGTGTTTCACCCAATGAAGTAGATTGTCTCTGCCATAACACATTGCAGCACAGCTGATCCACTTCATTAGACAACATCTGTTTATAGTCTCTGTGTACAACACTGCACACAGGCAACCAAGTTACTTTCAGTGTGGGAGGTAGTATTCACAGAGTATGACATGTCTCAGTATAATGCTGCCTGGTCCTGTAATTAAGTAGATTTGTTTCCGTAGTTTTCACTTGGAGCGCAAGGTAGCTTAGTCCATTTTCGAAGTGGAGTAGGTATGTTGCAGTTGGTAGTGAGTTAGTGTGGAATAGCTAGTATGCTATGAATTCATTCTCTGACTTACTGCTTACTAACTTCCCTGTACAGTTGAGCCCCAAGTCTGAAGCAAAATAAAGTTTAAAAAATAATATGGTACTTACCTTTACTTTCTTAATTTCTAGGACAAAACTTTTGACTTGCATGTAAGGGCAAAAAAATGGTAAGAAACTCTTTCCTGATTTTTAGGTTTCTAAAGACTCTGTATAGTGAATTCTGCCCTCTCTTGCTATGTGAAGGACAGAAGGAAAAGGGAAGACATAAGATCCTGATCAGATTTGCATCAAAGTGATC